CAAGCATTTGTATATTTGAACTTGAAAAGGGCAGCAGTTTTTGGTTATCCTGAAATAATGTCTGTTGCTGAATGGCCAGGAAAGAAGGCGGCAAGTTCGGCTTCGCAGAATCCATCCCCAACCAAAGGATCACTGCCTTCAAAATGGAGAGTGCTGCTGTGGACACCAACGACGTGGAAGAACAGGCTGGAGAAATCATTGCTAAAGCTGACCCTCCCTCAGAAGTGTATCTTTTCCAGGGTATTACCCAAGGGAAAACCAGGCTAACACACATCTAAGATTCCTCTTGGGTTAGGTAGCCATATAACCTTGAGAGGAAACATCATCATCATCCTGGTCTTGGTTCAGTCTGATTTTAATTCCTTGCCTAAAGCGCAGAGCTGAGGTCAGAGCTGTGATTATTACAGTGACTGGAGAAGTGGCACTCTGAACTCCCCTTTAGGGCTGTTGTCCCCAGCTTTGCTCTCAGAATATAAAGAAATGTGGCAGCAAACACCAAGGTTTTTCTTAACTCCTGCAGTTTTGCCAGTCCAGTAGTGCACACTCCTGGCACAGCCCAAATTGGGGAAGGAATAGGGAGCTCCTGGGGAGACCTTGAAGAATCTGAGAAGGAAGAAGCAGCAGAAGAGGAAGGTGAAAGTGAGGCAGCTGCTTTTGAATGTGTGAAGGTGGAGACTGAGGATACAAGTACACCGAAGGAAACTAAGAGTGGTAAGTATTTGTTTTCTTATTATCAGATCTTATTATATCACTTTATTAACAGTTCATAGTTAAAATGTGAAAGGCCTGTAGGAAGAAAGAACCATTGCAGCCACTTTACACATTTGCTAATTCCACTTGACCCAGTCAGTTCTTTTCAAAAGTTGATTTCTGTAGTATGGGGAGGGCTCCAAATGAATCAGTAACCCCTCTGGATGTTTGTTTAAAAATGCTGTGGTTATTATTTACAGGAGCTGTTTGTACAAAGCTGACCAGCAGTTTGGGGTTTGTGTGTTTTTTTAGATGAACCCATTGTTGTGTCTGACAGCGAGGAGGAAGAAGTTGTCATTCTGGAACCACAGGAACTACCAAGGAAAACAAGGTAACCAGCAAGTGGAATTAGGAGGGGAAAAGTTTGTAAGGAGTATTACCAGGAAGGGCAGGATTTTGGCAAGGCCAAGAAAGGAACGGATAAAAGGGAATACAGATATAGCTGAGAGCAAGGAAGTTTAAATCTAGCTAAATCTGGGAGGCCAGAACCTGTCTGGCCTGCAGCTCATTTGACTCATTTGAGTCCTTCCAGAGGGAGTGAGAACATACAAGTGGATCTCAGTCAGAGGCTGCTGAGAGCTGCTGCAGACATTCTGTGTGCTGCACTAGAGCTGATGTTGAGTTTTACCTCCACTAAGTGAGATTTGCTGCTGTATCCATGGAAACCCCTGTTGTTGGTGCACTTTCAAAAGATTAACCTACACCTTGGCCCCAGGCATGGTGGGGAGTTGCCAAGTTATGGATAATCAGCCTGTGTTATTTTGAAAAACTATTCAGTATGTTTCTCTGATACAACTGTTGTTTGCTGACAGAACACAGGCCAGCTCCAAACAAGAAAATCCAAGTAAGAAAGCATTTAACAAAAGGAGAAGAAAGAAGAGAACTTCTCGTTAAAGCCATCATCCCTCCTGCAGGAATGCTGTATCATATGGATTTTGGTGTATTATTACTGTTTATTTTTGTAGATAATTTTATTTCCTCCCCTCCCAATATCTGGTTTTGCTTTAACATGTATGTTAAACCATTGTACACAGATTTAAATAAAAAAAATGGTGCCTGTAACTGAAATCCTAGGTTTGGCATCCAGCTGCAGCAAAAACTCACCTAGTTCAGCTTTCTTCACAGGGGAAAATCAATGTGCTGTGATTAAAGCCTTCTTGCCCCCATTACTCCACATCTTGCCTTGTTCTCAGACCACTTTGTATGAAAATCAGCAGAAATGCATGGACTTAACAAACCAGCACAGAACTTCAGCAGTGGAGTTTCTTTAAAAGTTTAATTAAATATTACATGCAACAGACAGGAATGCTTCTTGAACTATAGGCAAAGAGTTATGCTCTCAATTTAGGATCAGGCAAAACAAAGACAGAGGGAGAATTGCAAAATACCTGATCTGGGCACTTTGTTTGCAAACAAGTGACCCTGGAAACACACACATATTTACAGAGTGAAGCAGGGCTATTTTACAGGTGACCTCAGTGTTACATGAGCTGTGAACAGGAGAGGAGTTACTGCTGCAGATTTTACATTCCCCAAATCAGGTTAAGAACTTAATGTAAAAAAAACCCCAAAACCATATGTATATAACATTGCTCCCAGCCAGGCAAAGTTTGAATCAAGTTGTGCTCTTTCAGAAGGGACCAACACACAAACCCTCTTATCTCCAGGAGCTAAACCAGTGCATTTTCTTAGTGTCAGTTCTTCCAACCCAAAGTCACTGTCCTGAGTACAAAAAGGGGTGAAGATGCAGCTCCTTCTTAGTTCTGTAGTACCACAAGACTGTAAACTTCTTCAGAAAAAAGAACAGTACCTTCTGCACTGCTGTTTCTCCCTTCTTCACATGTAACATCCCTATGTTCCTTAGAGCCTTGAGTTGGAAAGGATTAGAAGTTAACCTGGATAGGCTTAACAGTAGTACAGTACAACCTGGGATATTTTGTTCAAGGCTTAGAAGCAAAAGCTGGAATTGTCCCATATTAACTTTGGAAAATGAGAAGGTGGAAAAAGATAGCACTTAATAGCAAAAGCAAGAGCTGCCCTGAGGAAGGAGGAACATTGCCATGCTGGGCAGAGATGCCAGCTCCTGGCTGGGGATTTTTTGTTGGGCTGCAGAGGAGGTCGGGTTGATAATGGTGAAAATAAAGCTCAGGGAGCATGGAAGAATTTTTCTCCATGCTATGGGGACAAATTCCATTGAAATTTGAGCACAGCTCTTTGATTAAGCACTAAATTAATACTAAAACCCACTGAAGTCTTTTTACCTAAAGTACTGCTACTTGCTCCTTTTCTGGAGAAAATACTTCATAAGCTTCCTTTAAATTACCCCTCCAATGTTGCTATTTCTCAGTGGTCCTGGAATACACCACAGAAAGGAAGGGGAAGGCAGAACCCAGTTTCCCCAGAAGAGCATTGTGGCCTGGAACCTTCAAGTAATTGCTACCAGTTGCCTTTCCAAGGTCACACACAGGGAAAAACACATTCCTCCCTATGCAAACTCCCTCTCCTGCAAGGTTAAAGTGTTTCCAACCCCAAGCACCAGACATGATATACTGCACAGGTTGTCCCAGATTAATTTTAGCATTTCAGTAGCAGCCCACTGAAATTAATCTAAATAAAGGCTGCTGGCCAATGAAATATAGTTTTTCATTAACCATTAGAACATGCATAGAAGTCCAAGTGCATCCTAAGAAGAGCAGATTGGCCAAAAAGGCCACTCCTGCTGCTTATTTCGACCAGAATTTTGATCACCGTTGCTTTTGTAGTTGAGGTGGTTCAGGGAAGGCTCAGGCAGGAGCACAAGGGTGGGGGCAGAGTAGTAACTTTGTAGCTGCTGAGGTGACACAAGGAGTTCTTTCTCTGTAAGTGCTGCTGCTCAGCCTGACGGAGAGGAGGATTTGAAAAAAGAAATTTCCAATAGCCCACACCCAAACAGCTGTGGGACATCTGTGGGGAGGAGTTTATACTGCTGGGTGCCCCGATAACCAGAGACAGCACCGACTCCAAGCTGAAGAGGCGCAGGTTTCACAGGGCAGCCCTTGCCAAAAGGCTTTAGGAACGAATGCCAGTCTAAGATGACAGCACTACCCCTCAGTGATTTTAAGCTATTGGCAAGACCACTAACATCAGATACAAAAACTGTTTATTAGCCAACCTGGAAATGGCTCAATTCAGCCCACTTCCATGCACTCGCTGCTTTCCATGCCAACAGCAGCAGTACAGGGCAGCATCACTCCATTTACACAGGCTGAAGGTAAACATCCACTTGATCTAATGCTGATTGAATGCCAGTTTGCTTGTGGAACAGTTGCAGAACTAAGGAAAAACATGGCACATTTTTGCTGCGTGCCAGAGAGGAGCTCCTCCCAAGCATGAGGGGTGTAAGGAATTCCTGCTGCTCTGCTCTGCACGAAGCCCATCCATGTCAGAAGACATTCCCTCCTCTTGAGGCCACAGAGCAGCAGCTCACCCACTGCAGTTTAACCCCTCCACCACCCCTGAAGACGTACAAGGCAAGCAGACTGAGGACTAATGCTCTCAGTAGGCATCAATGGACTTTTGGGACAGCCAACACATCAGTGGGAACTCCATGGGTTTGCATTAGTATCAGTTTTACACTTGGACCAGAAGATACTGACAGCAAGGCCATTTTCTGTGCAGTGGAAGCACAAGGTATGAACTGGTGCAGGGGTTTTAACTGTGCAGTCCCTGCAGCAGAGCACTCAGCCTTTCCCCTGCTGAAATCTGGCACTACATTATACAGCAACTGGGGCAGGTCCTAAAGAGCTTCGTGAGTCGGTTCCAGCAAGGAGCTCTCCTCGTGGCCAGAGAGTTTCTTCCAGTTTTGTAGCCATTAAGGCAATGTTTTGGATCTATGCTAAGTCTCAGTTTAAACTAGACAGAATAAAAATGCTACTGATACTCTGTGGAAACCAAATCTTTCTTACTCAGAAGGAGAAAAAGCCCTACTATAATGATGCACTGCTAGTATTAACATTTAGTCTATAATTAGATAAGCAGTTTCAGACTTCACGTGGCCTGCATGGTTAATTCTGTGCCTGAAGAGAACATTTTGATAAAAACACAGCTAAAACTCTTAACAAGATTGCATGTACAAAAGATTTACATTAAAACCATATGAAACTAAACTTCATAATTGAAGTCATCAAGGCCTGTATTCATATTCTGATTGATCATATCTAGAATCCTGAACCATGTTTAAAACTGTACATCATTTTCTGGTAATATACATCTCTTAAAAAGATCAGTCTCTTGATTACTACTATAAGTTTAGTGTGTCTGGTGGGTCAATGAGAGATACTCCATGGTACCTAGAGAGGGAACAAAAGAGGCAGGATGTCATCTTGCTCAACCAGGCAGGCAGGAAAAATTCTGGGGCTTGTTGGCTGCCATGCCCCAAACAGATTTTTAGGAGCATTAGGTATCACCAACTGTAGGAATGTCAAGAAAAATTCCTCCAGTTTCTACCTGACAGTTCAGGCAGCAACAGAACACCAAGTACTGCCTGACAAACCACCATGTAAAAACCCCAAGGAGTCTTGTCATCCTCTCACTGAAGAGGTGAATTTGGTTAATTGAGTGTGCCTGAAGACTCAAAAGATACATCCCACACCCACACCCTGCCAAGCAGTTACATGCTTGGACAAATCAGCCATTAACACCTCCACAGATACTCACTTTGTACTCTTGTACTTTTCCCTTATAGACTGTTGTGTGTGCTGGGCTGCTTTGAGGTAGGTGTTGTGTAGGTCTATGAGGCAAGGCTTGATGTCTTCAAGGGTGTAGCCCGTTACTTTGCACAGGGATTCAGGCTGAGGGGATAAAAAGAAAGGGTGAGGGACATTTGAATGTTGCTGTTCACTTATGGTGATCACCAGTAGTGGAGTCTTTATCTTTCTGTTGAACTATATTTACCTCACCCCCCTACCCCATTTTTCAAACGCCACAGGGAGCAATCCTTAATTACCAGCCCAGGAGCACAGAGGGGCTGCAATTCCTGGAGCCCAGGCCCAGCACTCAGAACTGTGTACAAATACACTGAGCATACATAGAGGCCTGTGAGGGCTCACAGCAGAGTGCTACGTACCCAGCTTTGTCCAGTGAGTGTGTAATCTGCCAGATGAAATGCTGCAGCAGCAATGACTGATGGCAAGTATTTCAGGTAAGGATCAGCATCAATTAGACTCAGCTCTCCCAGGTACTGCAAGGGAAATGAAAAAGGGAATCATCTGCTTCCAAAAGTTAACAGTTGCTCTGGAACCCTAACTTGAGCTTCCAATCCTGCCAGCAGCTGGAAGGACATCTTTTATCAGTTTCCACTTACTTTCTCTTTAAGCACCTCCTGCTAGCTACTGCCAAACAGCATTCCCAGCACTTGCTTTCCCAGCACATTTTATATTTACAAACATGCAAGAACCAGAGGGAAGAGTGTGGTCAGGTCTGACCTTTGCACAGTGAGACAAAGGCTTGTGTTTAGGGCCTCTGATACCTACCACAGAGCTAGGATTTACTATAACTTCAGCTGAAAGGTTATCTGTGCTTTGTTCTAGAAATTAGTCTCTGGATTTAGAGCTTGCTGCTGGTTGAGGAAAAAACAAACCCAAAGTCCTTTTTTGCCAAAGTGTGCTAGTGGTCCTGCCAAAGTGTGTGGGTAGGTGTGGCAGCTGTAGATAAGAGAGAGGGAAAGATCTGGCAGTGCAACCAGCCCCAATTTCAAGTTCATTAATCTCTGCCTGCTCTGAATAAGGTGCATGCTTGAGCCAGGCCAGGTGCCAGCCTCTGATAAGAATGGAGTATCCCACACAGAAAGTGGCAATAGGAGTGTTAGTTCCCAGCAATGACTTCTGCAGGAGCACAATTCAGAAGGCTTATATATGTTATACATATACACAAATATATGTGCAATAAGTATCTGCAATAAAACTCTCTAATTACATGAGCTGAGCTAGTAATTCCTACTTACCATTGACAGGCTCTCCACTTTAGCATCTGTCTGCTGGTGTAGAAAGTACTGGGTGAGGAACTGGTTGATTGTTGGAGCTGCCAAGTCAAATGACAAAACCTTCAGAATTAAGTGCTCCATCCTTAGGACCTGCTTCTTGGTGTAGGTGTCATCTGTGATGTAGACAAACTCGGCTACTTCAGGAGGGTAGATCTCTTCAAACTTTCTGCCAGAAGAAACGTTTATGAGTAAATAACTGAGCACTAGAAAACCACCAACATTCAATGAAATGCTCATTTAAATTCTGACTTGGGAAGGAGCTGGGCACTGGTGCCAAACCAGTTTGCTGCAGTTGGTTCCGTAGCTCTTGAATCACCAGGACTTGAAATTAGAGAGCTACAACAGCATGATAATTCAGGACTAAGGAATTTAGTACTTGGAGTCACTGAAACTCCAGAATAACCCACTGAATCAGCAACTGGGGCAAGCACAACTTGCTTTTCACATGCCTTAAGCATATTCCCTCAAATACTGTTTTAGATGCCGGCTGCTGCAGCTGGAAATAACAGATTCTCACTTTAGGGGCAAACTTCAAAGATAACTGCCAAGCTTTTAGGTGGATAACTCTTGATTTTTCTCCTACTGTGAAGCCCTCCCGAGTCAGTCCTGCTCTAGGCAACAGAACAGCCCCAAGATTTTCATTGGCATGAAACCAGCAGGTGGAACATGAAATGAAGCAATTTCACTTACGATGCGAGCAGCATAGCTGCAGTACCCACAAGCTGAAGTTTTCCTCTCAAAACAGACATGGATGAAAGAAACCTATCAATGTAATTTACAGCTAAGTGCAGGGTTTCGTTCTGTAATTTGTATTCTTCTCCAACTTCCACCAGCCAGTCCACAAGAATAGCCCGCATGTTGTTTGTGATATCAGGTTGCTTCTTCATGTAGCCTATTTTGGGCTTGCACTTCACCTGTAGGTTTAGATGACAGATAGAGTTGAGGCTGGACCACGTGCTGGTAGGGAAGGAACTGTTTAAACTCCATTTATCACAGTTTAACAAATCAGAAGTAAACACTGGTGAGTTTAGGATCAGTAAGTTCCATTTCTGTAATCTTGCTTTCCGGCTTGTGCATGGCACAATAAACTTTATCACAAGAAACCAGTCCCGTGCTCTTATTTCTCCCTTTCTAGCAAGCTCTAATTTAGTCACTGTCTTGGTAACTCATGTTCTGATATATTTCTCCACCCCAAACTCTTTCCCCGTGGGCTGTATGCAAATAAAAAAAGGGACAGCAGCTCACCTCCATTTCCCTCAGGTATGAATGGATTTCACTGATATAATCGGGCACGTTATTAACGTTTGGTGCTTTCTCTTCTGTTTCTGAGGTTATTGAAATATCCATAATGCTTGGAGAATCTAAGCAGAAGATAACAGCCATGTTAAAATGGGCACCATCACATCATTTCCTCACAGCACAGGGAACCTTGTGCAGGCTCACTCAGCTGGACTGAGAGTTGGGGAGGGTCTATGGAAGTGAAATGTTAGGGCAACAGGAAAATTTTCCCCTTCCCCTTTCTCCTCTTCCCGCAAAGAATAAAGAGATGGAAAACTCTCTTGCAATTATGTAGTGCTCAGTGCACCCTGTGATACCTTGTAACATAGACGTGGATCCTGCAAGCTTAGATCGTGGCTTAAAACAGGGCAGGGGTGCCGGAGCTTTCAGTAGCCTGCCGAAGTGGATCACAGAAAAACCAGCCCCCAGATATTCAGACATGTGCTACAGAAGACAGATCTGGCAGTTCCCATTTTTCACATACTGGCAAGAGCTCAAAACACTTGCACCACTAACTGGCAGAAAAACCTTTAACGTCTTGGGATCTGCCTGGGTCAAGACCCCTTCTAACTCTGTAATGGTAGCAAAGGGTGAGGCTTTATGGGTTGATCTTGTCTGTAATCTGGCTTCTCTCATTAAGTACTGATAGTTAAGGTTGTAAATTATAAAACGGCCTAAAACAGGAGGGGATAAGAACGCATTGGCTCAGCTGCATGGCAGAGCTGTTGCACTCAGGCAAGCAGGCTCAAAGGAACCAAACCAGCCCTCGTCCCAAGCCACAGCCCTGCAGCTGGCTCTGGGAACCCTTTCCTGGGTGAGCTCCTCCTCGCTGCCCGGGGGCAGGCAGGGCCCTGAGGGGAGCAGGTGGGACGCGGCCTGCACGGCGCCCAGGGCCGGGCTCTCACGTACCGAAGCTCAGCTCCATGGCGTTGCCCAGGGGAGCCAGGGGCCGCCGCTCGCCCAGGGCACACACGGCCGCACGCAGCCCCAGCGCCGCCTCCTCCTTCTGCCCCGCCGGGACGCCCCGCTGCCGCCGCGGCTGCCGCTCCCCGTCGGGCTCGTCCACATGGATGGAGAAGGGCTGGTGTTGGTGCTGCTGCAGCCCCGCCGCCGCTCCATGGCCCTCGCAGCCGCCCCGCGCAGCCTGTGGGGAGAGCGGCCGTCAGCGCCGGGCCCTGACAGCTCCCGCCGCCGCCCCTTCCACACCGCCCCGCTCCCGCCGCCCCCCCTCACCTGCAGCGGGATCCCGGCGCGCTGCTGCGCCCCCCGCAGCAGCCCCAGCGCCACGCGGGTGCCGGCGGCGGGCAGCGGCGCCGCGGCTTTGCCGGCCGCCGGCGGGGGCACGTTCTCCTGGTTCTCCTGCTCCGCCAGCATGGCCGCAGCAGGAGCCGGGGGCAGCGCGGCAGAGGGGACGGCGGGGCCGGAGCGGCGGGGCCGGGGACGGGCGCGCCTGGAGCCGCCCGCGCCGTTCAAGTAGCCCGCGACTCTTGAACCGCCCAATGGGCGAGCGCGGCGTCACGGCCGCGCCGGATGGGGCGGACAGAGGGACGGACAGACAGACACGGGCGGACGCGGGGGGCGGGCAGCGCACGGGGAGGGACCGCGGCTGCCGGGGACAGCAGGCCCCGCGCCCGCCCAGGGCAAGGAGAGAAGAGCCTCGGGCGTTGCCGCCGGGAAACGCGTGCGGGAAGCGAGCTGGAGCTCGCCCAGCCGGGCTCCTGAACGTGGCCCGGGAGATGGGGGGGTTTGGCCAGGAGAAAGGGAGGCTCAGGGGGAGAACTCATCACTCTCTCCAGCTCTCTGAAACGAGGCGATAGGGAGGTGCCCGCAGCGAGGGGATAAGAGGAAATGGCCTCAGGAGGAGGCCTTAATAATCTTTCGAGTGTCAAAGAATCGCAGACCACAAAGGTAGTCGTGTTCCAACCATCCTGCTCTGGGCAGGGACACCTTTCATTAGACCAGGCTGGTCAGAGCCCCATCGAACCTGGCCTTGAACACTTCCAGGGATGGGGTATCCATAGCTGCCCCAGGCAACATGTGCCAGGGCCTCCCCATCCTCAGATGAGACAATTAGGAAAAAAATTACCACTGTTAGGGGGAGTCACCATCGCTGGAGGTGTTTAAGAGGTGTCTGGATATGGGGTTGGGGGATGTGGTTTAGGGGTTACAGTGATAATGACAAGTTAATGGTTGGACATGATAATCTCAAAGGTCTCTTCCACCCTTGGTGATTCTATGTCACTTCAATGGAGCTGATCTTTTTTACTGGCAAACATGTCTGTCTCCACTGGCTGCTTCACCTCTTGTAATTTTAAATAAAACCAAGTGAGAAAGTAGGTGGAGCTTTGAAATGAAGCACAGGGAGGCTGGAGAAGCACTGAGGAAGTTTAATGCCATCCATTCCTAAACAAATGTGGCTTTAAATGGAGGTGTTATCAGCCTAAAATTCAGAGTTCTCCCCCCTCTGTACGCACCAGCTACATCAGGGTCTGGTGAGATTCTCACACCAGATTCTCAACACAACAGGAAAAACTAAGTTTGGTACAGCTTAAAGACACGGATTTTTTCCAAATCCATCCAAGTTTCTGGAAACAGTTTCTTCATCCATTTTTGCAGCTGGGGGACAGGCCACTCCATGTCATCCTAAACAGTAGTGAAAACATTTTTGCCAAAAGGATATTCGGTATTTACATCTGGTCTTTCTTGAGCTCTTAACACTGTACATAAAACCTCTGCACACAGTTAACATACACAACAGTTTACAGGAAATATCCTACTGTATCCAATATGGTAATAAATATGAATAAAACCTAAGAACTGACAGTACAACAAAAGAGCAAAAGTGTTTTTGACTTGATACTGAAATGCCTTGGTTAAAACCAGAAAAATTACTCTGCTTTTTCCTTGTCAGGCAGCATCAAAAAAAGCCATCAATCCATCTTGATCACAGCCATCCAGAATTTCCAGAAGGAGAGGAACTTTGGTTTTCACATTGGTGCCTTTAAATTTAAATTTATCTATGAAGAGATCTGTGATCATACCTGTAAAGGTAAAATTCCAGGAATTACTATTTATTTTCAGTAGGAGGTATCTCTACTTTTAATTCATGATTATATACCAAGTATTCCAGTTGTTAGAAGAGTTTTTAAAGTTCATGTTCGACTGTAAACAAATCCAAGCCACTTAACTTTGATACATTCCTAAGTGCCATCCTGAATTTGAACACAATCTTTAACCATGTCCATAAAGACAAGAATCATCTAAATATAAACAGCTGTCTATTTCAGCCATGTCTCTGGATGTTAAGCTCCATTTAAATAAAGCTGAATTGTCAACAAACCATAAAGTCTCTCCAGATGTGCAGGTTGTCTCTTGTACTCCTCCAGCAGCTGATCTGCCTCTTCCAAAATGCTGCGGTATTTTGGGAGCAGGAAGTCCACGCTGCCTTCATGAACTTGTAATTCCTCAAAGACAGTTGGAAATGGTAAGAGCTAACAGCAGGTTAAGTATTGTAAGAGCAGGTAAGTCAGAAGAAATGAAGCTTAGATATGTCAGAAGGAAATACTTCAAAGGGAAGACAATCCCCTTCTAAACTAGCAAGTGTTATTTCAGTGCCTCATTTTCTAGTCTCCTAATGAAATGCCAGATGTCACTTCATAGACTGGATTCTCAAAATCCTGCTTATTTCAGCTTCCAGCTCTGAGCCAGAACAGGATCACACCACGCAGACTCAAGCCTTGACCATACCTTCATTTTTGGAATAAATGAATTCCTAAAAAAGTGTAGCATTCCATGAAGTCTGAAGGGAAAAGTAAACTCTGAAAGAATCACTCAATTTGTGACAGCAGAAAGTTTTGAATGTCTCTTCTAAAAAGCCTCAGTCTATCAGCAGACCAATTTGGGATGGTTGATAGTACAGATCTTTTTATCCTCCAGAGAAAGGCACTTCTGTTCTAGACAAGAGGTAATGGTGTTGTGCACTGAGAGTCTGCTGGGGTAACAGCTTTTATCAATCATTAGATTATTTTACTGCCTGTCAATAAGTTACCATCCAAAAAATGGGTGACTAAAAAATTTGTCAAAGATTTGCTGTCTAAAACAAGCAAGATGTACAACACCATTATTACTGCACAAAGACAATGTGCAATAAGAATTAATTCTCTATTATTGTTTAAATCCCTAGTTTGCCAAAAAAACCAGTTTCAATCCCAAACCAAGCCCAAGTAAAACCCTTTCAGTGATAATAAAGATTCACACTGTTCTCACTGGTAGCCAGCTTTTCTGCTATCTGAAGAGCTCTGATAAGTATTTGAATCCCCTGAAAGGACAAAAGAGAACTGGCTGAACATTTTCACCTCCCCTTCCATTAAATAATAAATACCACCTCCATGATGGTGAGCTTTAGACAGAAAAATCCTGGCTCTTGGGAAAAAAGTCTAAGAACTGAGATGAGCTGCCCGACTGGTACCTCCCAAAGGCTACTGAGGAAGGTATTAACCAAAAGATTCAAAAGCAGATGATTTAGAAATTATGAGACACTGGGATGAAGTTCCAAAGCAAAGAAATTGCATCTGGCCTGAATGACCTAAAAAACTATAAATGTTAGTGGGAAGGGAGAAGGAGCTGGAAACTAACAGCAGGCTAGGAGAGAACATCAGACAATAAAGCTGGCTGCCCTCCTACCATCCAATTTAAGCATCTTCAGTAATCCTACACGTTATTCACTAGTTATACAGCAAAAAAGAGAATTTTCATTGAAGAAATTTCTCTCCTAGACACTTCAAACACATGCTTTAATTTAATTTAAGGGAACAGACCCCACATGACACACACCTGAGTACCTGACAGCATAACCCCCCCATATAGATCAAACTCCAAGAATTCAGATACTTACTCTCAAAGCATCTATTAAGTGCACTTTCTTGGCCAGCAGCTGCTGATACTCTAATTTAGGGTGGATAAGCTTTAACGTGTGCCTCACAGATTCTTCATTTACATCTAGCAGGGAGTAAAAAAGAACCCCAACAAGCAAATGAGTACTACATATTCCATTTACGGGAATAACAAATGAACTGAAGTACAACAAAATAGAGAAGAATTTTTACCATATGATATGTTGAGATTAATCTTCCTTTTAGTAGCCTCTTTGGAAAGCACATCTTTGAGGATGGATATTGTAGAGATGTTGTCAGATTTAAAATATCCCTCACCTTTTCTATAAAAGAAGAACAGTTTAAAATACATAAACTTGAACACACATGCATGCATTCGGTTTAGTAATTGTATTTTACCTGTAGGTACTTTCAAGCTGTGTTCCCAGGAAAGTGTTCTGAAAATAAAAGGTGATGCACTCTCCAGCAGGAGTCTTTTCAGGCACCTCAGGCAAGCAAAACACAACCCAGGAGTGAATTTCAGCAAAACTGAACTGGCCTTTGAGCATCAGTGTATTCATGGGCCTGTGGCATTGTGAAATTAAAAGAGAAAAAGGACAGTTAATATCTAAGAAGGACGGACTCTGTTCGTGTGAAAAAAAGCTCAGTTCCATGTGGTGGTTTCCTTTTAATCAGCACCCTGTAATAAAACAGGTCTCTCCCTAAGTACAGATACATATTGTAGATTGCAGCTATTTTTCTGTACTTCAAAATGCAAAGCTACATGCATATTCAAGTTCTACCGCCCACTAGGCATGTCAGATCTAGGAAAAACAACAAGTTGGAAGTTTTTGATGTCCCACTGCAAGTTGTTAAACCTGAAATTTAGGACAAAGGTAAACAACTGACAAGAGCAAATATGACTAAGACAGAGCCTCAAGAGCTTCCCATGCTGTAAACCTCAGATGTAGCATTTTTATCAAGAACAAGGCATGGTGGAGCTCATTTGCACACTGAAGCCCTTGGTATCCTCCCTTCAGTTCTTCAGTTTTGGTTTGAGCAAGCAGATCCTTGGAGGCAATACGAGATGTTAGTGAAGTGGGCAAAAATCCATCAGAAATTGTGTAAAATACAAAACTCCAATAAACAGAGAGATAAAGGTAAAAAAGTCTTGGCTCAATTTTGGGGCCAAGTTAGCTGTGAGAAAAAAATTAGAGGAAAAGGGTGGAGCAGAGAATGAGGCTGAAACTGAAAACACAGTTACCTACAGAGGAAAGCTTCCTTTCTACCACACCCTCAGCCCGACTAACACATGGCGCTGAACTACAACCCAGGGCAGTAAAAGGAAAAATTGCCCCAAAACAAGAGTGGCAAGGAATCCATTTAATCCATTATTTCTATTAGAAAATCCATGAAATGGAACTACAGGCTCAAAAATGTAGGTTAGGGCTTACAAATTCCATACTTAGTTTACCGAGCAAACATTTCAGCTGCCTTGTGTAA